GTAATTATTTATTTAATAATAATAAACTATTTTCTGATATTTTCGATCTACCCTACCACGGCCCTCTTCTCTCGCTCGATGACTCTTAGCAAAACTAGAGTCGGCTCGCACGGACCTAGCAGCCAAAGAACATACCCTTTCAGGTTCTCTGGCCTGGACTTATCTAAGATCAGGCAGATCCTGTCGCAAAATAATGCAGAAAAACTAGTTCATGCATTTGTTACCTCCAGGTTGGATTATTGTAATTCTCTTTTGTCAGGGTGCTCTGGTAAGTCTCTAAAGACTCTTCAACTAGTCCAGAACGCTGCAGCTCGTGTACTGACTAGAACTAGGAAAAGGGACCACATTACTCCTGTGTTGGCTTCTCTGCACTGGCTCCCTATACAATCTAGAATAGAGTTCAAGATCCTTCTTCTCACTTACAAAGCTCTAAATGACCAGGCACCATCTTATCTTAAGGAGCTACTAGTGCCGTACTGCCCCTCGAGAACACTACGGTCTCAGAATGCGGGCCTGCTAGTGGTACCTACAGTCTCTAAATGTACTATGGGAGGTAAAGCCTTCAGTTATCAGGCTCCTCTCCTCTGGAATCATCTTCCAGCCGGAGTCCGGGAGGCAGACACAGTCTGTATTTTTAAGAATAGACTTAAAACTTTCCTTTTTGATAAATCTTATAGTTAGGGCTGATGTAGACCAGCTCCTAGTTATGCTTCTATAGGCTTAGACTACCGGGGGAACTGGCACCTTGAGCTCCTCTCTCTCTCACTGTGCATATACAGTTCATCATATTACTGCATGTATCTATCTGTAAATCTCAGTCACTAACCACCTACTTTCCTGGGAGCTCTTGAGCTCTCTTTCCCCCAATTCACACAAACTCCGTAATCATGATCATTGTGTTCACACAGTGCGCGCCACCAACGGCACCACGCTCTGCTCCGTTTCAAATACGCAGCGAGCAGAGGTGTAAAGAAGGAATTACATTTACTCGCGTTACTGTAATTGAGCAGTTTTTTGGTGTACTTACTACTTTTGAAGTCCTTTTTAAAATCTGTACTTTTACCTTTATTTCAGTAGGTTTTCTGTTAAGTTTTGTAATTCGCTACATTTTAAATCACATCCGTTACTGAGTAAAAAAATAGGCCTGCTATGAATGATTTTCCCTCATCGGGTTGCCACCCGTCCCGTAAAATACGGAATCGTCCCGTATTTTACACTTTGATATTGCGTCCCGTTTTGAATCAATACGGGACGCGGTATTTCCCGTATTTCCAAGATGCCTTGAACTCAGCATCATTCAGCCCGATTCAGCCGGCTAGTTCCCGCCTCCTCAGAGCGTCCGTTGGTTTGTTTGGTTCTTTTTTGGCATGAGCAATAAGAGCTCTTTAGTGATTGGGTGAGAGAAAGTCATAGGAGTCAGAAGGAAACATGTCTGCAGGTGTCTGTCGAGATATCATCAATACAACATCAATATATCGACAGTTGACACTTAATTAATACAATAAGAAAATAGTTCAAAACCATATTAATCGTATCATTCATGATTTCATGAGAAAACAACAAAAACAAAAGACAGAAGGACAGAATAAATGAATAAAAATACTATTAAATTCGTACTGTTTATTTAATAAAAAATCTGTCATCTTACTGCTCCCCTCTATGTTACAGCAGTGTCAAAAGCACTTTAATAATACTCTGTTAATGAATTAATGTTAAGTTAATGACTTTATTTTATGTTTAAGTTAAGTTGTAAATTAGATAGGCCTAGCTAGTAGTAATCATCTGCTGACGTCCTGTTAGGTGCATTTCATTGTACATACATGACTGTATCTGCCTTTACACTGATGTTTTGCATTTTTGTAAATTATTTCAGAAAAGAAAGTGTTAATAAAGCACTTAAAACTTTAAGTATGACTCTTACTACTTCATTAAAACCACGTTTTAAATCATGATTCACCACAACTGGTGCCCCACCCCACCGTTCGGCCAGTGGTGGTCAGACCCCTACTGAGTTGCACCCCGCTGCAGGGTGTCCTTTATTTTTCTGCTTGGAAGGTGGCAACCCTACTCATCACACCGGAGCGAAGAGAGAGAGAGAGACAGAGAGAGAGACAGAGAGAGAGACAGAGAGAGACAGAGAGAGACAGAGAGAGAGAGAGAGATACAGAGAGAGACAGAGACAGAGAGAGATACAGAGAGAGAGACAGAGAGAGACAGAGAGAGAGACAGAGAGAGAGAGACAGAGAGAGAGACAGAGAGAGATACAGAGAGAGATACAGAGAGCGAGAGACAGAGAGAGAGACAGAGAGAGAGACAGAGAGAGACAGAGAGAGAGACAGAGAGAGAGACAGAGAGAGACATAGAGAGAGACAGAGAGAGAGAGACAGAGAGAGACAGAGAGAGAGACAGAGAGAGATGCCACTACAGCTAGTGCAGCACGGATAAGCTCCTCCTCTACTGTGGGTCTACCTGCTGAAGGTGTTTATAAACTGATGTCTCATTGTCTTAAGTCCAACATGATTAAAATAAGTTGGCTGTGGTTCTTACTCTTGGGCAAAGAAGTGGCTGAGGATGCTTTTTCTCACTGCAGCGTTCGCGACTACAATCGCCGCTGCAGCTCCGAGCGATAAACACATTTAGTTCCGGAAAGATTTTCACAATAAAAGTCCCTTATTGACATCTCTGTGTTGTGCTTTTCTTTTGAAACAGACGTATGAGGAAAGTGGGTGTTATAAGCTGCTGCAACTTAACACATCTGAGACGTGTGAAAATAAATACTTCAAACCAAACAGATTCAGTTAGAAGCTTCAGTAGCTAATAGGTAAACAAACAGTGACTAAGACATCTAATATTTAAGCTCATAAAGGCTCATTTTAAAACAATAAATGAATTATCTTTCATCTCAGGTTTATTTGCAGCTAAATCAGCCTTTGATGCTGACTAACCAGCCTCAGAATAATAAAACTAAAAACACTAAAATTCTCTTTACACTGTTCATGATTGAGACAAAGATCCTTTTAGTATTTTCTTAAATAGTTTAAACATTTCCCTTCATAAAACAGCTGATTACTTGAACATATAATCCTTGATTATTTATCCATCATTATGTATATTTTGTTTTTAGGCTATGAGAAAATGTTTATCAGAAAAGATAAATCTTTGTTAAGATTTGCCGTTAATTAAAAAAACTTTGAGATTAATTTCCTCTCGTCCTTTTTTCACAACACGAGAGATGCGTTGTTAAAAAAAAGTAACTAAGTAACTTTTACTTAAAGTACATTTTAAACAAGTTACTTTTTACTTTTACTTGAGTACATTTTTAATCTGGTACTTTTACTTGTACTTAAGTAACATTTTAGCAAAGTAACAGTACTTTTAATTGAGTAGAATATATTAGTACTCTTTACACCTCTGGCAGCGAGTCTGTTTTCGCCGGAGTACGCTGCAGGCACGCGTCAAGCTGGACAGAATATGACAGCCCGGACAGGAAGTCAGACAAGGAAACGCACAGAGCGTCCAGTCAATTTTAAAATTAAACACAATATCCAGACTCGCGATCGTATTTTTCATCACTTTATCAACATTACGTCAAAACAGGTATCGAATTAACCACATGCATCCTCAGAAAGACAAAGCAACATGTTGTTTGCATGTTTAACTCTTTATTCCCGCGGGATCTTGTAGTTGTCCTGTGATGTGTCATAGGTGTGCTGACGTCCCAGAAACAGATCCAGTGTGAATGGGCGCGAGCCGTCCGAAGGAGCAAAACCGTGGCACTGACGGACCACGGCACGCACAGAATATGTGTGAATTGGGGGTTAGGCTCCTTGAAATTGTTGGTTGACGGCCTGCCAGAACAACCCCCAAACCCCCCAACCCCCAACCCCCACCCCTTACTCCCTATCCCTCTTCCTGAATTTTATCCCATCTCTCCCCCTATCCCTTTCCAAGCCCGGCGCAGTCTAGGCCTGTGAAGGCTGATGAGCCCGGGATCAGGCCGAAGATTTCTGACTTTTAATAAGGCAGTTTTTTGTTGTTGGTCTTTTGTATAAAGTTTAATTTTATACAAAAGACCAACAACCAACAATTGTATTTTAGTGTGTCGTGAGTTTATGGGGATAAAGACTGTAAAGATTGCACAAAGTAGTAGTTGCAATAATGAGCTTAAACTGCACATCATTTACAAGTAAAAAGATATTTATTAAAAAAGAATTCTAAAATAAGAGAAAATGTCTATCCACACGCAACACTCTCTAAAGAACACAAGGGGAGGCTCTCAGCGTACTGAAACACCCATGTAAGACCATAACATCATCTGCTGAGATCATCAGCACACTTATACTGTGTTTTTTTAAAGGTGCTCTATGGAGTTTTGGTAGAGAAATGTGAAAGTTGGAGAAATGTACAGATTCTGTGGTATGTGTTCATTACTCTATATGCTTCTATAGAAGTACAATGTGACAGAGCAAAGCAGAGAGATGATCACCAATGACCAAAGTGACTACAACAACAGCAAAGACAGGAAATGTGGAAAGCCTAAATAAGTGGGGGGCAACAGGAGGTACCTGAGAAATTAGTTTAAAAAGACATTTAATGCAGATATGTTGAGATAAGAAGAACAAATATGTTTAAATATCTGAGTACTTTTCACATTGTGAATTAAGTCAAAGGTTTCCATGCAGTGGCTCATTTTTCTTCTGCTAATTAAAACGTGCAGTAGATCTGATCAAACTCGTAGCTCTCTCTTCATCACTCGTATGACTATCATTACAAGCTCCAATGTTTTGTCAGTGGTTATAATGCCACTGATGGGACTCCAAAGCCCCTGCAGTAACAGACGGGTGATGTCACTCTGGCTTAGTCCATTCATTCTTACAGGCTGTGGTTGCACACCAGAGAAAAATTAGATACATTGAAAACCAACATTTTAAACATCTAATCCACATTCTATATTTGACCTAGCCTCCAGTGACTCCGGTGACTCCATCGGTCCACCCATGTTGAGCCTGGTGTATCTTGGATGATGGTGTTCAGTCCAGCCATCACGGTCCTCTCCACCTTCCTGTGCCTGACTTTTGTTTATCTCTGCAGTCAGAATGCAGGTAAATACACTACAATCACTTTTTACCTGTTAAGTATAGACATTTGAATGACTTAAATACAAATGAATCATATTGATTGTGATGGATCATTGAATGAATGAAGTCGTTGTCTAACAAGAAACCTTTTATTTATGATTCTACAGATGAAAAAGATCAAATGACTGAGAGAAGACCTGACATGGGAGAGGAAAGTACAGTGAATCAGGTAAGGACTTTCTTTGGTATTTTCATGGTCTCAGACCATTAGACATCTTTGCAGCAGTAGAGACTCTGTACTAATGACACTCATGTTACTGTGTCTGATTACCTTTCAGGATGAAGACGCATGTTTCACCAGAGTTGTGTTCTTGTGTGTCGATGGACGGAACAAATAGATTGGCTTTGTCTGAGCGGACATCACACAAGCTCCACTTCAAACTTCTCACAAAGTCTTTAGAGTCCGAGTTTAAAGACCTGTTATATTTGTACACAGTGATGATGCGTTTTGGGGCATAGTCAAAATGGTGTCAGAAAGTCAGCTAGTGGTGTTGAATTAACTGTTTGTTTGTTTGTTTTCTGGCTTCTTGCCTTCACTTGATAAGACGGTGTATAGAGTAGTAAACAGGAAAGAGAAGGGGGAATGACATGTGGTAATGGAACCACAGGCCGGACCTGAACCACCCGCCCAGAGGACCAGAGCTTCCAAACATTCGGGCAACCCAACCAGCAGGTCAGCTGTGGTCATGAATTAACAATTGGGTCTTCGGCAGATGTTCAGCAGAAGCAGCTTTTGAGGACCCTTGTTTACTATCACAATGACGTTAATCATCCTACTACGACGCTCGATGGCCGATTAGGATCCAATTTGTCAATGTCTTCAGAGACATAAACATCAACAAAACAGATATTTTCAACAAGTAAACAAGTAAACAAGTATCGTTATTATAGCAAAGATTACTTTGACACGACTAAAAGTGACAGCAAGAGACCGCTGCCAGGCTTAGAACTGTGCAACCCAATACATGGCCTTCCTGGGCACCACAGTGCTGCACTTTCAGGAGGAAGACTCAGATTTCATTTTAACTAGTTCACCACAATGAATTAATTTTTTTAACATTAATCCCGTTTTAGTTTGCATACTGTTTCCAATTTATTCATCATGTGTAACTATGTTGTAACCATTACTAATGTACATGTATTCTTCCTTTATGTTCACCATCTATTTGTAATAAAGATTCACATTAAGCCAAGAACTTTGTTGGTTTGTTTCTGTTGAAAGGTCGAGCAGATCTAAGAAAGGCCGAACCCCAAGGGACCCACACAGAAAAAAGTGATAGGCTAAGATTGATGTCAAAATCAACAAAAATTAATTCCAATTTATTCAGTGAGAACCTTAAGTCGAGGTGTGGCTGACTAAGGCAGCCTGATGTTTTTCAGTGAGGAAACATGAATTTTTTACACAGTTTGGGTAAATATGGTAAAATCTTCTGGAGGTTCAAAAGATTTGCAAATGTAGAAATACACCGCAAGAAAAGGTGGTCATTGTTGCTTTAAGTTAGGATGAACCCTGTTTGTGCAAGCCTCCATGGGTCCTTCCCATGCAATCTTTCCCCAGAAATATCTTAAATTGACTTGAGCTTGCATAGCACTTTTCTATTCTTCAGTCTACTCAAAGCACTTTTACACCGCAGACGAAGTAGCTGGAGCAACTTTGGCTTGAGTGTCTTGCTTAAGGACATATCAGACATGTTGCCCCAAGCTTTACTCTTTTTCCCCACCGTAGGGGCGGCCATAAATATTGAATCACACCATCAAATGCCAACATTTATAAGAGGAGAGGAAATATGCCTGAGCTGTGTATAAGGATACACATGTTCAGTTCAGGCTGCGTAGGTTTTATGTGCCATGAAACAAACATGTTTTAAATGTATAAGACACAAAAATCCTACAAGTGGTTTTTCAGGCATTGTCTGAGAAGGCTAAAATGCTGTTTTTTATGGTCGGAAAATCTGTTGAAGATGAGTTGGCAACTTAAGAAGCTCATGTGTGTCATTTTTTGGACAGCGACATATACTGCAGTCACAGTTTAAGTGTTGTTTGAACTCTTTCAACTTTCTTTCAGCCTCCACTATGTACTGATATGATCTTACGATGGGGGATTTCTCACAAACAGCGACCCATAAATCTATTCTTCTTTCATAATTTGAAGTAGCTGCACTGAGGGTGAATGTGATGACACTTAACCTTGCACACAACCATGATATCACTTCACCCACACTCTTACTTTTTCAGTTCCCCAACAAAATTGGAGTCATTCAACCAGACAGTTAAAACAGTTTGTTTTAGTGTAAAATTAAACAATAACTTCTGTTACTGTGCTAATCATTATTTCTCTGTCTTTCAGTAACATGACTAGTGGGTGGGGGCAGGACTTCCTGCTTCCTGAAGGCTCCTCTTTAGACCAGACCAAATGCTCTGATGTCATGGGGGAAGGGGGGGGGGGTCGGTTTACTGAGTTCACACCTTAGCTTTTCTCATGTTCAGTAGAGTTATGTTCAGTTATAGTTTCACTTTTAAAGCTAAGAAATTTGGGGTTTGTACATTTTGTATTCATCTTTGAGTAAAATAAAAACTCCTGTTGTCTCTTGCCTAGCTTCTTGGTCCTTAACAGTCACATTAAATAGTATAACTTTACATTTATCTTATAGAGAAACAAGCTGCTTGATCCTTTATAAACATGTTTGATCATAGCACTCTGCACTTTATTTGCGATTGATTGAACTTGCTATTGAAATCCCAACATGTAATCATGTTATGTTTTAATGATGTATTTTAATTTGTTTTTTTTTATGGTTTTTGTTTTCATGTGCAGTCCTGTTTATGGTTTTGATGCCTTTGTCACTAACATTGTGTTTTTATGCCGAAGCAACATTACAAAAAAGGCAACACGTCTTCTGATTGAATTGTTGCCCTGACGATGACCTGAAAGACCAAAATGTCTCGTGGTTACTCCCATGAAAAAAAAATTAAAAAAATGTTCCACAGGAGTTTACCTTTCAGGATGAAGACACATGTTTCACCAGAGTTGTGTTCTTGGTTGCAGATGGACGGAACAAATAGATTGGCTTTGTATGAGCGGACATCACACAAGCTCCACTTCAAACTTCTCACAAAGTCTTTAGCGTCCGAGTTTAAAGACCTGTTATATTTGTAACAGTGATGATGCGTTTTGTGGCGGAGTCAAAATGGTGTCAGAAAGTCAGATAGTGGTGTTGACTTAACTGTTTGTTTGTTTGTTTCTGGCTTCTTGGCCTTCACTTGATAAGAGGTGTATGAGTAGTAAACAGGAAGAGAGAGGGGGAATAACGTGGTAATGGAACCCAGACCGTCCACCAGAGGACCAGAGCTTTCTCA